GTATATATTATTTTTCACATTCTTTTTCACTATAGGCTATGACAAGGTATTGAATATAGCTCTATGTACTACACAGTAGGACTTTGTTGTTTATCTATTTGATGTATAGTAGTTGGTATCTGCAAATCCTGAACTCCCAATTTATCCGTCCTCACTCCCATTCCCCTGGGTAACCATAAGTTTGTTTTCTGTGCCTGTGAGTCTGTCTCTGTTTTGTAGATAAGTTCATTTGTGTCATTTTTAAAAGATTCCACATATAAGTGATATCATGTGGTATTTCTCTTTCTCTTTCTGGCTTACTTCACCTAGTATAACAATGGCTTTTAATGTCACTTCTCCGCAAAGCAGATCAGGCTGGTCTCCTCTATGGTAGAGACAGCTCTTGCTGGTGGACAGGTTTCAGAATCTGCCCAGAATTCGTAGGTTCAGGAACGTTCAAAGTGTAAGGAAGACAGATAACAAACTCATTGTTCCCATTATCTTTCCATCCCCGTTCCCACTTCCCAAATAGCAACAACAACAAACCCAGACACAGCCCTTAGTGTTGCAGAACAGCAGTCACCCTCTAGGACTCTGTGGGTGGCGAAGCTGAGAGGGGAACGGTGGGCAGTCCTATGCTGGGTGTCTAGGGTCTCAGCTGGGCTGGAGGACCCGAAGTGACTTCCTTTCCCTGCCCTGGTGAGCTTCGGATGCGAAAGGGCAGGTAGAGGTGGTCCTGCAAGGCTGCTGGGTCTCACAGGGAGGGACGTACTTGAGAGGGAGCAACCAAGGGATCGGCCTGAAGCCACCGGGCTCTGAGCATGCTCAGAAGTCAGGCGGTAACTTGCCAGCCACAGTCTGCTGGGTCCAAGGGCGTCACTAAGTCCCGACCAGATTCAAGAGAAGGTGGGTGATCAGAACCCTCGTCTTGAGACGGGAGTGCAAGGCCATGTGCATGGCAGGAGAGCTTGGAGCTTTTGGTGTGGCCATCCTTGGAAAGCACAATCGGTCAGACTCACGAATTCAGTGTATTTTCAAAATTTACCTACTGTGAGATGGTGGTTTAAATATGCACTGGTCACACATGAAGCCTTCATTAGATAGTACAAAAGTCAGCTTATCTATGGTCACAAAAAATAGTTACGTAAGAAAACCGGCATGCCGCGAGGCAAGGGACGCCTTCTCGCGAGAAACTGGCACCTGGCTCTTGGCATCTGCCCGCCCTTCCACAGGCGTCGCCCTCTTCCTCTTGGAACTTCAGCTTCCTGCCTCTTGAAGTGTACGGACTGTGTTGTTTCCTCATCTGTGTGGAAGGATAGCCCTATCTGCCTCCTAGGTGTGCGGACTGAATGAGCCAAGGTGTGAAACGCACTTGGAACAGCGTCCAGCAGGGAGCAAAC